GGATGCCTGCTGTTACCTATTTAATTTTTTGTTTTATGTTTGAATTCACTATGACAGTCAGTATGTAGTTGTAAAGGACTTTTTTAATATTTTTAAAATATTTTTAAATTATCCTAAAAATATATGATATGAAAATTCAGATAGTGTGCCTCCAATTATACTTTCCAGAGCAATCGCTGTTAGGAAATTCTTTTGTATCCTTCCAGGCATTTTTCTATGTAGGGCAAGAATATGTAATATATCATACAAATATCTATATCTATTTTGGCCCATATGTATATCTTATTTCCTTTTAGTATGGGAATAGTATGCCCATATTTTTTTTAGCTGCAATCATATGTCTTTCCTAGTCCCCTATTGCTGCACATTTAGGCTATTCTTCATTTTTTACTATTTTGATAACATATACTATGTCTTCCCTTTTTATCATATCTGGGATTCCTTAGTTACAATAAAGAAATTTTTTCCATTTTCATTTATTGTCATAAAAGATAAATCTAGTCATCTGATTTTATATTACTTCTTTTTATAGCTTCTTCTGTTTTCTATTTTCTACATGGTTGGAGTTTCCTGATAATTTGTTATTTGAGTAGTTTTTTCTTGTACTAATATTTAGTATATACTACATCCTCTATTTCCTGGTTTATCAACTTTCAACACTAACTACTGATGCCTACTCTAAAAACATGAGAAAATGAATACAGCTGATGAATATTAACACTTTCTCCTAACATCCTTACTGATTTCTGATTTTCACTAATGATTATCATTTTTATATTGTCAGAGTTTATCCTATTTGTGGTTTTCTGTAATTATGCTGCTACAGTGTTTAACCTTAACCTAAGGTTAGGATCCTGCTCACCTTCACACCTGTCATTCCTCAACCTTATCAAGTTGAATTCCTCATTTTGATTCGATTTTTGGTTGACTGCTTGTAATTGTTAAGTTATTTCTCACAACAGGTCAACAAGCTATATTCCCTTGAGTTTTGAAATGTTAGAGAATGTTTTTCATTGGGCTTTCTTTATCTTTCAGCCTAGCCTCAATTTGCCTGAATTTTTAGGTGACTTGATTTTTCTCCTTCTTGAAATAATACTTATGCATACTACATGCAATATTTTTTCTTTTATTGTACTTAATTTTTCAAAAGCTTGTTATGACCCATTAAATTGATTTTTTATTATATAGTGTTTAAATACTATTTTTAAATATAGTGTTAGAGGACATGGAGAGCATAGAGACTGAAGGTCGCTAGTAGCTTCAATTCCATATGTTCTTCCAAAATATCTTCTTGCCACATCTGCTGGGGACATGCCCTAGGGGCTTGTTTTCCATGGTCTTCCATTTTGGGAGAGCAAATCAATCTGAAAGAGATCAGCTTGCTTAGTGAAGCCTCTTAGGTTATTGGTTTTATTTTGATGAGTTTGCGTTTGTTTATCTCTGCTCTGCTAATTCTGCCTTTCAGCTACAAAATAGGTTGGAGCTTCTTTTCTTTTCTCTCCTTTTACTCCATGAAGTTTCTCAGTGTAGAAGGAAATATATGTCTCAGAGGAAATATAAATCTTCTAGCTCCACCTCTCCTCCAACCTTAAGGTGGCACCTTACAAAGATTTACCCCACAATTCCAGGATCTTACACCGGCCTTCAAACTATATATTTTTTTTCTGAATAAAAGTTTGTTGTCTGTAGCCTTCTGGACTCTTGATCTTAGTGGAGTGAAACGTATACCCTGCTAGAGACATAGGCATGTCTCTTGATGTACTCCCCCTTTTGGGATGGGTCCAAATTTCATTGCATGGCGTAAGATTATGGTCATTTTCTAACTCCACTGTAGATAAAATCACCTTCCCAATTTCTCAATTGTTTGTTCATTTGGAGTTTGAGGGAGGAAAATAGAGTAACCACGCTCTTACTCCATCATTTACTATAATCTCTTGTTAGAGATCCTTGATGTTACAGGGATACGATGTAAATGTTCTTTAGGGAAGCCTATCCAACAGTTGCTTAAGGTATAGATTAAAGTGTTATGTGATAACATACCAAAAAGATATTAGAATAATCTAGGCCAGCACAGCCCAATGTAGCTTTCTGCAATGATGGAATTAGCCTGTATCTATCTACAGTGCCTGATATAGTAGTCACAAGCTACATCTGGCTATAGAGCACTTGAAATGTGGTTTGTGAAACTGAGAAGCTGAATTTTAAATTTTACTTAACTGTAGTTAATTCTAATTTAAATGTTTATATCATCATGTGGCTAGTGGCCACCATACTGGACAGTGCACAGGCAGGCAGTATAAAACCTGAATACTAGAGTTTGGTGAAAGAGATGGAAATAAAAGAGGGTATCCAAGAGTTATAATGGAAACAAGAAACAACAATGCTTTTATAAGGAAAGAAGAACTTTAAATAATTCAAAGGCACTATGCTGGGAAGAATGGGAAAGCTGGTGGTACCGTCCAATAAAAAGGACATATGATCAAGAGCTATTTTGAAAAATAGATATTTTAACAGGGTGAGGTCCAAGAGATATGAAGACCTCTAAGTGGAAATGACTATAAACAATTAGAATTCTCACACTGAATTGGGGCAGAGAGAGGTCAGAGCTACCAAAAACAAAAACAAAAAAATCTATTTCCTTGACATTTCTCTCTGGAGAGAGTGTCTTCTGCCTCCATACACCCCTTTTCAGATTGCCTTGTCCTCCCCAACATGGGGAGAGACCCTGATATATGGCATAATAATGACGGTTCAAAGAAATTGCTATTTCACCTACTGAGTGATTAATATGAAATTAGTTACTGAAACACTCAGTGGTGCAGAGAGGATCAAGGAGAAATTTCGTTTTGTTTTAGAGAGAAAAAATACAAGATAAAATACTGCTTTGCATACGCGGAGTACTTTTCATCTGAGAATCTTTCCGTACCCAGAGCCTAATTAATGAGAAAATCTCTAAGAAAGGGAAGTGATGAGATAAGGGGCTCAGATACCAGTGTTCTATTTCTGTGACTTTTAAAAATCAGGCTTGGTGTTTTCTTCTTTCATTAATGCACAAGTGGAGCTTTATGCAACCGCCGTGAGATGTTCATCTTTCTACTGAATGATTTCTCATGAAATCTCATGAAGGCATCACACTTAGGAGGCATAGTAACCACACGGAACCTCCCCCGCCCCCCGACTTTATTGATGTCCTGCACTCTCTTTGCCATGGAAATCCATCCCTATCATCATAGTGCAGCGAGTGTTCTCTAATAATCCGGCCTGCACTGTCCCTGAAAGGACAGTTTTGTTGCAGAATAGAGCGAGTTATCTTCTTTATAAAAAATTATTCAAAACAAACATCCATGAATCTAGGACTAACCTGCATTGAAAGGGGATGGGCAGGCCTTCTTAACAGGTATCCTACCGTGTAATCTCCCTTTCATCTTCATTCAGAATCCCTTGGAGATTCAAGCTTCTCTTTACAAAAATATAAATTCTTCTAATTACTTATGTATAGGGCACATGATTTGGCCCAGTCAAAAGAGATATGCAATAATGTATCTTGGCATTTATTTTCATCTGTTTTGACTTGGAAATGGATACTGGATTTTTGTCCTATACCTTCTTCTTCTTCATGTTTTTTTTTTTCCTTCCCTTCTCTCCCCTGGGTGGGGGAGGGAGGGAAACCATTCTACCAAAAGAGAAAATGCCTTGAAAGTTAAAGATAATAAACAAAGCTAGCTGCCATGTGCAAAAAATAGGTGTTTTTGCTCGAAACGGAGAAGATACTGAGAGAGTTCAGTGTGTGTGTGGCGGGGGGGGGGGGGGGGGGGGGGGGGATTAATTCATCCAAGCTTTCTATAAATGTGCCCAGGCATGTACAGATCTTTCATTTCTAGCCCACGGTCCTCTCATAGTCACAGAACCCAGGCTTGTCCCCATCGTTTCTTGAGTTCTTACTTTTGCTGCCTGAGCCAGCATCATCTGGCTTCTCTTGTCCTGTATGGAGTGCACCATATTTGCCCAGTGATGTAAGGTTCCATTCGTTCCTCATTAGCACAGTACACCTCCTGACACCATCAGGTTGCCATTGTCCAATAAGATGCCACAGTGACCTTTCCATTTAAACATGTAACTGAGAATTCAGGAGAGCTGATCTCACACTTTCCAGATTAAATGTCGCATTCTTAAAATTCAGATGGATTTGGAATCCACCTAGGTCTATTTTTCGCTTCCATTGCCAGCAGTCTACTGGCACACTGATTAGTAGTAGCATTTTGTAATATCACTTAAGGCTTGAGCGCTGTGGAGTTCTGCCAGTAATGTTTAATTCACTTATATGTGCCAATTCATCTCTGTCAGGAGCCTATTAATTTCTTCGCTATTTTACTCTGTCCCTAGCCCCTATATAATGAGACACAATGATCCCCATTTGTGTAACCAAAAAACTTAGAATCTCTCATAAATTACCTCTGATCCCACTGCTTTTAGTGACCAGAAAGCCTCTGTATTTCTTTTTCATATTTAAATCAATTTTTGTAAGCTCTTTTCCTTAAAGGAATACACTAGAATTCTGGGGTACCAAATGGTGAAATTGTAGCCAAGGTATACGATTCTAATGGGCTCTTTAACATGCATCCCTCTCCCAAGGAAGCCTTCCATAATATCACACCTCACATATACTGTTCCCACAGGTACATCCCATTTGTAGGAAGGGAGTTTTCATGAAAATCAGCCTCTGACTCTGCAAGCAGCCCAGTCATCAGTGGGCAAGATGTCAAAATACCTTTAGCACTGCTGTAGAAATAAAGACCCTACAACAAATAAAGGTTAGAGATAAAAAAATTAACCCCATGGATATGCTGTTGGCATTTCTATGTGGTGTGATCTCGGGTTAATAGGAAGGTGACAGCTAAGTGACTGATTAGGAGGAATCAACATAGATTCAGGAGAGTCTATCATTATATTACCACATAAAATTCACATATGTCTCAGCTACCTGTTCTACATTTTTTCAGGATTGGAGCAAAACATCAGGAGCTAAGGGAGAAGCAGGCAAGAGGTCTTATTGATTATGCTACTGGTGGAATCGGATCACTGCATGATATGGACGATGATGAAATGGACCCCAATTACGCCCGAGTGAACCACTTCCGAGAGCCTTGTGCATCAGCAAATGTCTATAGGTCACCATCTCCACCTCGGACTGGACCATTGGGTTACCCTCGAGATGGCCGTCCACTGTCTCCAGAGAGAGACCACTTAGAGGGTCTCTATGCCAAAGTCAACAAACCATACCATCCGCCGATGCCAGTTGACAGGTAAGATAGCTTATCAAAAGACAAATATAGTTTTAATTCAGTAAGTTTCAAATCTGCTGAAGCAAATAGAAATATATCTTTTAATCTATTAAAACTGAAATGGCATAGTACCCTTGATAAGAGCTGTGCTTTGACCTATCCATAAGGAATCAGCCATCAAAAATGAAACAAATGAGCTGGCTATAAGGTAGCATGAATGAATAGTAGTCATTGTGTTCATGGTGCATCAGAGACCAATTTTTGAATAAATATTGTGACAGAGGACTAATGATGAAAATTTTGAGGGACACTAATGATGAAAATTTTGAGTCCTACTGTGAATGACTCATTCAAGAAAATAGCCTGACACCGGGAGGTGAGGAGTCAGAGAAGAAAATGGTGACTCTGTATAGGTATAATGGGGGTGGAATTATAGACAGCTGCACAGGTGCAGAGAACCTTGAAAAGCAAGTTGGGATTTTACACTCAAGGAAAATGTGATCCTGTATAGATTTTCATGGATGATCAGAGGTAGAAAAGGAGATAATCTTGGCAATAGGAGTTTGATGAAGTAGAGAAAGATAAGAGGTGACAAGGCCAAGGATCTTTAGGCTTAGCAGCTAAGGAAAGAGATAATAAGACCATCTGTCAGTACAATTGAAGTAGGTAGCGAAGAAGATGGTTTCAAGCCCACCTCCTGCCAAAAATAAAATGTCTCATCTCTTGAAACGCTGATATAAGAGAGTTTTAGTCAATATACATTGTTAGGTGACCCCTGGAATTACACACGCAAGGAAGGAGTTGACTGACCTTGGTTTAATGGGGCTGTAACTTGAATTCTGAAGGGAGGAGGTAAGGGGGAAGGGTGGCAGACACAAAGAGCTCTCATTCTATCTAGATGAAAAAAAGACTTGTTTTCCAGATTTCTTTTGGTCCTGACAACCACCCAGTCCCTATTAGTAACCAGCTTTTGTGTGATAGCATGATATATTGCATCTGTTTACCGTTTACATTTCCCCAGCTGGGTGATATTATGCACTTTCAATTAGGTTGGGGAGAGGAAGGGAAATCATGGCATTTTTATGCAGACTGTAAAGTGTAGCCTCACAAGACTGATTACCTTTCAGAGCCTTTCCAATAACCAAGTGGGAAGGAAGGAGCAATTTTTAATCCTTACTGTCAAGCTTCCAGGTTGATAGTATTAAAGAAAGATGCTCAAGTTTTTCTTTGGGATAAAATGAAAATATAAATTCCTATGACTGCGTAAGACAGCCCCAATAACTAAACTGTTAATTCAAACAACTGATTAAGAGTTGGCATTTTCTTCTAAGCCTTCATATAGGGTTGCATTTTTATCATGGAAATAATAATACCACTCATGAGCCTCTTCTAGCCCAGACCAAAGCCAATCTTACTTTCCCTAAATCAAATAGGTCTTCATAGCAGTCGCTTTGTATGCACCCACTGCTAGAATCCCAGCACAGAGGCCTGTTTTTAGGAACCTCCAAAGCCAATATTCCCTTTCTACTAATTCCATGGAAATAAACGTGGGGCATATTGTTAAAAAAGTGTTCACTGGCCAAATGCATATAAGGAATTCTGGGTATAGCCACACTGAGCAGGTGTTCTTACTGCTGTCTCCATATCCCCGTTATGCTAATATGCATTGTAAGCCTCTAAAAAGGAGCATACAACAATCAGCACTATCACTTTCCAAATTTTTGTCCCCTCACACTTATTTGTTTTCTATATTTAGGAATTTTTTTGTTTGTTTTGTTTTGTTTTTTACAAGTAGTTTATTGTCAATTCGGTTTCCGTATAACAGCCAGTGCTCATCCCCACAAGTGCCCTCCTCCATGCCCATCTCCCCCCGTTTTTAAATCTTATGGTTATTTTTTGGAGGACAAAGAGACTATCCTAAGCTAATTTTCACTATTCAAATTTGACCAGTAAAGACATTTCTTAGGATAATGTTAACTATAGCCAGTGTAGAATGATTAAAAAAAAAAAAAACAACCTTATTTACTCCCCAACCCAGAGATAGATACAGGTCTTTCATTTGGCTCTGACCCTGTTGTATTAATAAATGATCTGAAGCTCTGTCTTCAGTGGTGTTTCAGTCACTTGTCATGTTTTTGGATAATAGATCAAAGTATGATTCATCATACCAGAATTATCTTTCTTCTGCTCTTCTCTTTCATTGTATTTAAAGATTGTTCTGTTCCTTGTTCTTTCAGTCTTAAAACAGGCAGTTTTTGTCTTGGCACACAATAAGTGCTCAATAACATTACCTGGTATCATCATCACTGTTATTATTATTGTTGTCCTTTATCAGTGAAATTCTCAACTTTGCTGATATGCCTGGAACCAGGTGAGTCTAAGAGGAGAGCTGCTGGAGGCATATCTCAGACTGTGTATCAGCAGGAACCACATGTTGCAAACCTACCTCGTGTACACTTAGAGGCATGTCATTCATTTTGTCTTCTCTTTGGTCTTTCATTCAACAAACACTCATTTGGCATCGACTGTGTTCTAGGTACTGTAGTAAGTTCTAGGGAAGATAAAAGATGACTAGGAAATGGCCCCAGTCCAGAGGAAGTTGTACTCTAGTTAGAAGGGGATCAACGCATATGGAAATAGATCACTGCAACATAATATAAATAGAAGAAGCTTTTCTAGCTCTGCTCATCAGGAAGGGTCTTCAAAAGGAAGTGACATTTGGACTGGCTCTAGAAAGATCAGTAAATATTGATCACACCCAATAGAAAAATTGTTTTGCTTATAGAATATTTTGGACATACAGGGTAAATCAGCCTGAAAAAGCATGGCATAGTAGGGAAGCTCAGAAGCATCCTGAACATGGAGTGTGGATGGGAAAGAAAGTAATATGAATAGGGAATGAATCTGGAAAGCAGGTTAGAGCCATATTATGAATGAATAGGTTCTATCTTATGTTCACATCTATTGTTTGGTAGTAGCTACCCGGAAATCTGTGATAGGAAGGGTTCTGAAATTATACTTAAATCATGATGTCCACCCTGTGTTCCAGAAGCTGAATGGAAGATGTGTGCAATAGGTATCTATATATGGGCTAATCTCATGGGCAGTGGGAGCCATCAAAGTGTCATATTTGGGGAATGAGCTGGTAGTTTTGTGCTTGGGGAAAATAGCTCTGCCAGTTTGATGGCAGACAGAGAGGAAGATGGTTAGACTCAGAAAAATTAACATGTGATTACAGCACTGGAAGATGGGAAGGGCTTGGAAGAGGAGAGTGGCATTGGATACAGGAGAAAATAAGAAACAGCCAAAAACTTTAGCTTCAGACTAAGAGAAAGATGTTTAGCAGAGACCACAGAGGTGAGACTTTCAAATACTTCAGAGAGATCAGTAGAAAGAGAACTACAAAGAGGACTTAGGAAATGGCCACTAAGAGGTCTTCAATTAATTTAGAGAGAACAATTTCAGTAGATAGATAGGAGCAGAGGGAAATTGCAATGTGATGAGAATTGATAAAGCTGTAAGAACTTAGCAAGATTGGCGATAAAGAGCATTGTTGTTATAAGATGGAAAAGTAGGTGGGGGCGGGTGGGAGGAGTGCCTGGATGGCTTGATTGGTTACACTTCCAACTCTTGATCTCAGCTCAGGTCGTGATCTCACAGTTCATGAGACTGAGCCTGCACCAGGCTCCATACTGACAGCATAGTGCCTAGTTGGGATTCTCTCTCCCTATCTCTCTTTACCCTTCCCCTGCTGGCACACATGCACGCACACTCTCTCTCTCACCTAAAATAAATAAATAAACGTTTTTTTAAAAAGGTAGAAAAGGTCACAGCTTTGAAGTTCCTTATATAACAGTGCAATTGACCTTTGAACAATTCAGGGGTTGGGGCACTGAGCCCCATGCAGTCGAAAATCTGCATACAACTTTTGATTCCCTCAAAACTTAACTGCTAATAGCCTACTGTTGACCAGAAATCTTACCAATAACATAGCTAACTAATACATATTTTATATTTTATATGTATTATATACTATATTCTTATAATAAAGTAAGCTAGAGGGAAAAAATGTTGAGATAATACATGTGCAGTACTGAACTATATTTATTTTTAAAATCTGTGTATAAGTGGACCCAAGCAGCTCAAGCAAGTATTGTTCAAGGGTCACCTGTATTTCAGAGTTAACCAGAGAATTCAGAGGCCATTCAGAATAACCTTCTAATATCATTGCAGAAACTGAGGCCCAGAAAAGTTGAATGACTTACCCAAGTCATACAGCATTCAGTTAGGACTTTATTCTAGATTCCTTTATGTTATACAATCTTCTTTTCCCTATACCACACCACTATATAGACCCATACTCTCATTTCCTACTTAAGGAAACTAGGACCCAGATAGGTGGATTGGCATCCATTTGGCTCCCAGCATGCTAACGGCAGGTTAAATCTTGGGCTTCGGAATGAGACTGACCCAAGTTCAATCCTCTTCCAGGTAGTACTGCATGACTTTTAGTAAGTTAACTTTTCTGAGGTGCTGTATCTCATCTTAATGCATATAATTCAACAAACCCTGAGTTCATCCGGGAACAAGGAGGAAGATAGGTACCTTTCTATGGAACTTACAGTCCAGTGGAGGCTACAAGGATGTATACACACAATGAGAGCACAGTGTGAAAGGTACTACCATACGGGAAACACAGGGCAGTTGCTGCTTTGGAGCTGGTGGGTGGGAGGCACAGAGGACAGTGTGGGGGTGAGAGAAAGCATGGTATATTACAGGAACTACAAGAAGCTCAATAAAATAGAAACCTGAGTGAGAGAGTAAATGGCAAGAGATAAAAATGGGAGGGTCTGAGAGCTGGGCAAAAGGCAGATGATACAGCCTTGCTGGGGATTTTGGGCTCCATCCTGAGAGGTGGGGAAGGGGTAGGGAAGGGAAAACCTCACTTAATCTGTCGCATAATCCTGGGCTTCAGCCTACAATTAAATGGCAATTTATCCTCCCCTCCTTATTAGCAAAAG